CTATTAATAAAAACACATATATATATATATATATATATATATATATATATATATATATATTCAATAAAAAAAAACATTGTTATTGCTATTGTACAGTAAACTAAAAATTATATGACAACAGTAAAGTTAAAATACTAATATTTATAAACAATTCTCTACAAATCTGAGAGTGTTTTTGGTTCATGTTACATTTTCAAATGCACATAAGCAACCTAAACTTACAGCAATTGCAAAGACGGAGTTCACATGGAGCAGCCTTTACTGTGAAACGAGCCGCTTTGAGATGCTGAAAACATCAGATCGTGAGCTGCTCGCGTGTAAATGAACACAGTGCTGTGCTTCACTTTGAAAGCAACCGCACAGCTGAGATTTTTACTCGTATTTGTGTTCATTTTGAACCCTGGCTGAGATACAAAGGGTGTCATGCAGTGCTGTTACAAGCAATCCATGCATGAAATACATGCATTTTAAATGTATTTTATTTGAAAACACAGCCATTTATTCCATGGATTTATGCGATTCAAGGTTGAAAAATACAGAAATCCATATAAAAACTGAAAAATCATGTATATTTACAAATATTTTTCCTCAATATAAATTTAGCATCATGAATATTATAGTTTTAATGTGCTTTTTATTTGCCAATGAAGCTAAAGACCAAGTATTGATGCTTTTCCACTGCATGGTACGGCACGGTACGGTTCACTTTTGGGGGGTTTTCCACTGGGTACAGTACCTGGTACTTTTTTTAGTACCACTTCAGTTGGGGTTCCAAGTGAACCGTACCGTTACCAAAACGTGACGTGTAAACTCTGCTGATCACGGATTGGCCGGAGAGAATCGTCACTACCTGCGTCACTGAACTTGCGACACAAACACAAAAGAACCGCTAGATTTAAATCAGCACAGCCAGCGAAGGATCGAACGCAACTGTTTTGAACGAGCGCACCTTTTTTTAACAACCAAAAAGTTTTGTTGTCTGTTGAGGAAGTACAGACGTTCCTCTGTTGATAGCAGAGGAGCAGATCCAGCGAGAGCTTGATGGGGCGACGCGGAATGAAAAAGTTTTTTTTTTAGGAGTCGTGGTAGTAGAGGCGGCGCAACTATAACGACATGTGAATAATCCCGCCCACTCTAAAGCGGTACTGAACTGCAGTGGAAACGCAAACCGTGCTGAGCCGAACCGTGCCGTGCCGTACTGAGACGTACTGAGCCGAGTCGTACCACGCAGTGGAAAAGCGCCATATGTCAGTTTCAGCATTAAGAGAGATATCTGAACCTGATTTAAACATCTGTAGCAAAAATGGCAATAATGTTTTGATTTCCACAAATTATTTTTTTTTCTCTGCTTTAACAATTTGTTGGCTTCACTAATTTGGTACTGTATGTGCTTACGCATGCATTAGTAGAAAAAAAAAAAGTAAAATATTGCTGTTTATTACTATGTATTGTTGCATAGGTCTCTCTCCAGCTCTCTGCCGTCAGTGTCGGTCTGTATTCTGTGCTGCAGCGGCAGACTGATCTCTCATTTACCTGCTTGTTCTTGTACTTCTTCAGGTATCGTGGAGACACCAGGCACTCAGGGTTGATGTCGATGGTGATGGGCTCTATGATCTGAGGATCAGGATTCATGTGCTGCATCTTCAGGAAGGACAGAATGTTCTGGACCTCCAAGTTGTAGGAACTATCTGCCATCGTCTTCCCTTTGGAGGCCAAACGGCAAGCCGCCATCCACTGAGCGTACTGCTTCTCCTGAAGGACAGGGAAAGGAGTTTGAACCTCTGAGTGCCTGTGTTCCTTTAGTATCACTGAGATTTTTATTTAAATTTTTCAAGTAGCAATTTTTTATAGTTTCAGTTAACTATAATAACCCTGATGAGTTTGTATAATTACTTTTTAAGTAGCAAGTCAAGTAACATGCTACTTTTCCTTATAAAGGCAAATGAAGGTGTGAGGTGATTTACTGCACAATAATGTGTGGCAATCAATAGAAGTGTCTCACTCACAGCATCACACCGCAGCCAGATCTCATTCATACCATCTGCTACAGGAATTAGCAACTTGATGTTGAATTTCTGACCGGAAATGTTCACATCTGGTGTGACTTCACAGCCTACGGAGAAACAGCAGATGAGATGCAGTGCTGATGTGGTAAACAAACAGCGTTTCTGACCGCGTCTGTTGCGAGCGGTCACCTCTCAGGTTCATCTGGTGCGCCGGCGTGCCATGGGCCTCCTCGCGGCTCTTGTAGCAGGAGATTGTGATGTCCTTGAACGTGCACCAGTACTGCTTGTATCCTTTCAGAGTGAGTTTCTTTGGTCTGAGGTGCAAGTAAAAGTTAGACAACATCAAAGGGAAATGACTCTCTACTGTTGATCAGCTCTGTGACGTCCACTATTTCAATATTCAATATAGCAGAATACAAGCACATTATAATAAGCTGTAGTGTGTAATATCTGTGCCACTAGCATTTCAACCACTTCCAACTAAAACCTCCGGGCAAACAGGCAGGAATTATCACCATTGGCTGAGCCAATTAATTAAATTAAATTTAATTAATTTTGCTGCCACTAGTGTTGTGGAAATGACTACATTTACACTTTAATAGACTAATATATAGACCGTCTATATACTGTACATATATATATATATATATATATATTAGGGCTGTCAAGTCATTAACATTTTTAATTAATTAATTACACGATGTGGCGATTAATCGCAAATTATTCACACAACAAATTTGGCTTAGAAATTACCCCCAAAAGATACTTTAAAGCCATTATCGTGTTAAATGAGAAACGCATCAAACAGACTTTACAAAAAGTAGCTTTAGGAAGAAATGTTTTCACTTCTAATTTTTGGGGGAACTATCCCTTTAATTAGTTTTTTTTTTTTATTAATATAGATCTTTATTTTCATATTTTTGATTAATATGAAAATATTTTTCAATGAAATGATTATCTAAGTAAGAATCTGTCAGTAGGTGGCAGTAAATGTCTTAATGGAGTAAGTCTTTGAGTCATTCAAACAACTGATTCATTCAGGAATGAAGTAAATGGCTGTCTTTAAGAACAGGCCATTGACTCATTAGTTCAACAATTCCTTCTAAACACAAATTCATTCAGACGCGAAACACTGCTGTGCTGCTCGGAGATGCAAAACAGTTCTGAAGTGGCTTTACAGGTAATATTTTCGTTGGCAAAATTAAGCAAGAGATCATTTTTGTCTAAAATATAACAATATTAAGTTCGTTTTTTTTTAACTGTTGTATAAAATCATATCACATGCTATTTGTGACAAGAACAGCACTCGTGTGATATTGCTTAACTACATCATATGATATAAATATGAGACAAAAACTCGTATGGGGCAAATTTATCTTGAATTTTAGGGGCAAATAACTGCATTCTATAGGCTACATCACGCTGTGAGTTGATGTCCTGCATCATGTTCATCACCAATCAACTGTATGAAAGGTAAGATGACCTACATTAGTCTGGGGTGGGTGTGGCGGGTGCGTTAATCGCCATAAAATATTTTAATCGCAGATTTTTTTATATAACCAATTAATTAAATTAATGCATTAAATTGATACATTTACTGGTATGCATATATATGCATACTGTATATGGCAATAGGCTTTGTTTTATTTACTTATTTATTTGCCTTACACTAATTAAGGCTCAACATAATATTTAAATCCTTCAACTCACTTGAAGACTTTCACGTAGTCGGCCAGTTCAGGAATGGATGTGATGTCACCCTGAGAACACAAAGTGTATTAATAAAGTTATACCGTTTTTGGTATAATAATGTCTTTATTGTCACAGTCTGCATAACAGCTACACGCTGCTCATGTTACAGCCAGAGGAAGATTCAGAAAACTCTGTTTTGATTTCATTTTTATCGTAGCATGTTTATTATGATTAATATCCAATTCTGCCTGCAATGTAATGCTATCAAATCATTGCACTTGTTTAAAATGATCAAAACAGGTATTTCTGAATAATAATCCTTTATTTGAATGACTTCAATTTGTAATACTTTACTGGAGATCGTAAGTGCATGCAAGCAATGTGAATAATATTTTTAATTTGTACAGTCTTTCCTCATAATTAATGTTTTATGTGATGTATAACGTTGTCTAATTCTAATGCTCTTTAATATGATGTTGTTTGTATTACATCCTTGCATTTTGATAAAAAAACAACAACAACACTTGTACTCTTAAGTACTGCACATACACATACAGCAGGCATGAGTGCTTCCCTTTTAAATGATGAAATATGCGTCAGAATAACATTACACCATTATTCTTTGTTTCATCATACCTGGTTGGTGTGTTTAGATGAAGTATCGTGATGAACTGTATGTCAATAAATCACAACCATCCCATGCTATAGGCACTGCAGTGCTGTTTTGATTTCATTTTTATCGTAGCATGTTTATTATGATTAATATCCAATTCTGCCTGCAATGTAATGCTATCAAATCATTGCACTTGTTTCAAATGATCAAAACAGATATTTCTGAATAATAATTTGTAATACTTTACTGGAGATCATAAGTGCATGCAAGCAATGTGAATAATATTTTTAATTTGTACAGTCTTTCCTCATAATTAATGTTTTATGTGATGTATAACGTTGTCTAATTCTAATGCTCTTTAATATGATGTTGTTTGTATTACATCCTTGCATTTTGATAAAAAAACAACAACAACACTTGTACTCTTAAGTACTGCACATACACATACAGCAGGCATGAGTGCTTCCCTTTTAAATGATGAAATATGCGTCAGAATAACATTACACCATTATTCTTTGTTTCATCATACCTGGTTGGTGTGTTTAGATGAAGTATCGTGATGAACTGTATGTCAATAAATCACAACCATCCCATGCTATAGGCACTGCAGTGACACAGGCTACAGCGGAAGTTATTTCATGCTAATATATGAAGCTTCCACTTTTCGAATGCAGAAGTGTGATAAAGGCCTACAGGTGTGTGTGTGGCTGTACAGGAAGTAGTAAGCATTATTATTGCATGAGAGTGCATGTGTTGCAGTACCAGCGTGTTGGACGTCTTTCCTCCCTCGAGAGTGATCTCCAGATCTGAGAGAGCTGCATCAACCTCATCGACCTCCTTCTCACTGTTGTTCATGTGATTGTCTGAAGACATGATGGACAGCTTGTTGATGTGGTACTGCAAATAAAAACAATCACAATAAACACGGTGTTGCCATTTACTAATTCATCATATTAATATCGTAAATTACTTATTGTAATACTTAACCCTTTCCCACATCTAGCATTCTCCCAATTAAATAAAACTGAATTTGTAAATGATACAATGTATTTATTTAGAACTTGTTTGTATTTGTGAAATGTAACATTTATTTAGCCTTTCACACATGTCCTAAATTTCAGGGCTGCAAAACTCTTACAAAACACATGGAAAATAAAACTAATAAAATATTTACTTTGACCTCCTGAGATGGACAAATACGCGTTTCTGTCCCACATTTTGCAAGCTACACTGTTACTAGATGATTTTCCCAGTTAAATAAAACTGAATTGGTAAATGCAAATGATCATGTTTAATGTGTTTTTTAGGTTTTAAACTTTTATGCATTTGTGAAATTTAACAATTATTTAATATTTGTTCTATAATCTTCATGAATTGGCTTTAAATTGTATTCACACATGCTGCAAAAACGGCAAAACTCAAAATGAAGGCAAAATTAAAAAGCTAATGCATTATTTACGGGATGAACATAATTTTTCATATAAGTGTTATTTTAGCATAATTGATACACTACTATATATATATATATTTTAAATTTTGAATGGGTTTTTAATTCTAAATAAAATATTTTCAGAAATACTTTGAATATATTTATTGTATATTTAAAAATTGTAGTTAAAAAGTTTAGTAATTTTGCTGTTTGATTGGTCTTTTTTATTATTATTCTTAAATTATTATTCTCTCTATATATTTTTTAGTACACCAAAAAATGAGAAATGTTATCTATAACATTTATTTCAATGATACTAACATTTTTTTTTAAGTATGGTTTTAGTCAACTATAATACTGTTTATGTATGAGTTTAAAGCCTGTGACCTTATTCTACTAAACGATCCCCATGGTGCTACAGCGAACAGTTGGACTACAGAAGCATATTTCACTGTACGCTGATGACAGCTCCGCTTTCAAAATGTAGGCTAAAGGCATTTTCATGTCACCATCTCTCTGCTCAGATAAGAGTAGTTAGTAGGTGAATGACACACGGATTTCACTCAACAGTTAACAGCCTCGCTATAAAGCTGGCTAAACTTAGAGCTGCTGATGTTTGACGGCGCTGAGCTCTTCTACCCAGAGACACGGTGCAGGTCCAGAGCCAGACTCGTATCCTCTGACTGAACGTGGTGTGGACTGATGGGGGGGGACAGACCTGACTAATTTAAACTCGCTGTACATAAACAGAGAAAGTCGACACCACTGATACACCTCCACAAAACCCTGCTGGAGCAACCCACACCTCCTTAGGCTGGAGACTCCGGGTGGTCTCCCATGTCCCACCTCCCTCGAACAGACGCCCGCTCTATATTTACATGATGTGAAGACAGTGAGGCGTCCTGAGGTGTTGTCACTCAACATTTATGAGGGTCTGAAATAGCAGGGTCATCGTTGGCCAAAGGGCCAGTGAAGACAAACGCCACAGCCTAACGTTTGCATGCTGCAGATGCTACGCAGTCAGGCACAGAGCCCATCCAATTCATTAACAGGGCCAGAGGACCCGAGTGAAGACTGCAAACTGTCAAACGGCGGGCTTACACAGCAATCCTAACAGACAGAGCGTTGGCATAAATTCTGCCGTGGCTCGGACGCACACGTACCTGCAGGGCGGCGAACATCATCATCTCCTCCTCGGTGCATTCGATCTCCTCCAGCAGGATGGCCCACTTGGCCTGCTCATACAGCTGGTTCACCCTGATGGCATCATACTGCAGGGGTCAGGAGAGGGTTAAAAACACGACACCACAACACCACTTTCATCACACCGTCCTGACAAAACAAGTGTTTAGATCCCTCTGTGAGGCTTACGGGTGACCATAATGCACACATCGAAACCTGATTATATACAACTAAAAACCTTAAATGGGTCATGAAATGCAATATTTTATGTTTCCTAAGGTGCACTTATAATCTTAGTAGGGGTGGGGGAAAAAAATCGATACAGCATAGTATCGCGATATATTTGCATGTTGTTCACGCAAATAAAGAAGGCGTAACTTTTATTCTTGCTGTAGTATTGTTGTTGCTGCCGCCGCCATGTCGTGAAGATGCTGTGTGTTTCCTTGTGAAAGCCAAACTACTTTGTTTGGTCTTCCAAAAGAGGACACGACTACAAATCAGTATGGGTGGGGGAAAAAATCGATACAGCATAGTATCGTGATATTTTCCGCGGCAATACTGTATCGATACACGGACGCCAAGTATCGATCTTTTATTATACTATTTGGTAGAATAATAAAATCAATTTCTTTACAATCCACTAGATGGTGGTGTTGAGTTTTTTCTGGTGAGGTCAGCTGGGTCACCTTCCGCATGCAGTAAGTTAGTAAAATAAAGAGGGCGGCATCTCGTCCGCGTTTAAATCGGATGTATGGACTTACTTCGGATTTGTAAACAAGGATGGGATGCAAGTAGGGATGCACCGAAAATATAGTCTACATATTATAATAATAATATTATTAATCTTTCTTAATGTTAGTTAATGAGAATACAGTTATTTACTGTTAGTTCATGTTAATTCAGAGTGCATTAACTGTTAACAAGCACAACTGTTGATTTTAATAATGCATTAG